GAGCCTGTTGACGACTGCGCCCCACAATGCCGCTCTCAGAAGCACCAAGTGCGTCGAGTACTTGTGTGCGGACAAAGGCAAGAGCGAGGCCTGGCACGACCACCAGAAAAGAATGTCAAAACATGCATTCGAAACGATGAGTCGTCACCGAGTGAACGGACCGTGATCAGCGGTTGCCGAACTCTTTTTTTTGTTTTGCCAGCCGCAGACGAGGGCCTTGTGGCGTTGCAACATCTCTCTGGTCGGCGGTGTTTTAATTATTTTAGTCAACAACAGTACAATGGGGGGCTCTTCTTCGTACTTCTATGCAGATATTAAAGGGTACTGTGAACGGATGTGTGATCTCCTCGCCACGTCGGTTATATTCGTTGGAAATCAGACGTGGTAATTCGTTTGAAGACATGACTTGCATTTGGTTTGCTCATTTGAAATTCACAAGATTTTTGTAGGTCACCTTTTGTGAGAGACTAATAGGTGGGCCCGGGGGCATGTCACGAAGCACATTATCTTTACCAGTTCTCTACTCTCCCACGACTCGTTACATGGTTGCAAGCTACCGTTATCTTGGGGACAAGGATGGCAATATTCCTCATCACCCCTCAAAAGCTCCCAACATTAACCGGTGCGGTTTCAATTGCGTTCACAAACTGCGTCTTATTGTTGTTCTTCTTACTCGTTGGGAGCCCACTGCCGACACTCAGTTGTATTCCCAAAATGAGATCCGAGTCAGTGTCTTCTTATGCATAAATATAGCATTCCTTGGTTTAAAAAAAAAAACACAGCCGCACAATCACACACAACCGCACTGATTCACATGCATGGTCCATATTTAAAACAACAAAAATGTTTGCTTTTTGTTGCGGACGATTCCACTTGCACACGCACGGGTTACAATGATTTCGGCAACAAGGAGACATTATTGATTAGAAAACGAGCAAGGCAGCTGCAGGGGGGCATGTGATCTCAAAGAGCTCAAGGCAGCTTCTGTTATTGACTTACCTGTTGGTTAAATAGAGGGGGGGGGGGGTGTCCCGAGTATAAAGTCATAAATCAAGGGACAGAAAGGCAAATTGGCATTGCATTCATTTAATTATTAACCAAAAATACTGCCAGGATAATGGATTTTTATATATTTGCCGTAGTTAATTAGTGCCATCATGCGTGTAATTTTCGACGTATAGGTCACTTTGACCTTTTTTTGTTAAATCCATTCACAACAAATAACGCAAATGTTTACAGGGGATTAAAGCTAATATGAATGAGTTTCACAAACAAACATGTAAATTATAACCCGGGTGCCAAAAAAAAATTAGTGCGTACAGAGGAAATGATATAGTGCATAGATAGAGTTCAAACATTACCTACAGCTTCTGGAAAACATGTGCATACCTGTACAGTTCAACGTGAACATAAAGTACTTTGAGTCATAGCTCTATATAAATAAAAATCTGTAGATTATCTCGATGACGATCATAATGAGAACAATCATATAAAACAAATATTACTCAACTGATCAAATATTTAAACATCCCAGATTTGCATACATTATGAACAGCGTTCTATGTCACTGACAAAAGTAGTTGCTTTTCACAGCTGACTGATAGGATTCATAATTACTGTCACGAGTTACACTTTCGAGTGCAAATTCAAAGACAATCACAGTAATGTTACGTTTCGCATTTGGCGATTCATCACTATTATCGGGCAGGGTTAACTCACTACAGTACGATAATCCACCTGGCCACCTGCACCACGAACTACCTTCATCTCTCCATATCCTCGGCTGACTTCCTCACACGTGTTCCATTCACACATAATTTATTACATTAACTCAACAGTTAATAGGTTATCGCACGCGGGCATAAATAATCAATTGCAGGTGTCAGATATTAATTTAAGGCTGAAAAAACGTTGCTGTAAATGCCCCAAATAAAATGTAGAAAAAAAATCCCCAATCACCCATCAATCCTCCCAGATTTCCACGAAATCACAACTGCCACCAAAATAATTAAGACATTCTCAAGCCACCAAACGAATAAAGGGCCTACTGATTCCATGTCAGCTTATAGGTGTGTATTTTACCATATTCGAGCCATGTTGGTCAGTGTGGGTTTCTGAAGGAGAAGCCAGGACCGGTTCTATCACTTACCACTGATGTTTGCCGAACTATGGAATCGACCTCAGGTCACCGAGCTCATAGCGTAGCGAGTTAATCGTTGTACCACGCGTTAACCACTATACCGCCACTTAATCCCCTCTCACTACTGTAACACATTTGAATACAGCTGCCCGCATGTAGCACGCATTGATTTTACTAAACCTTGGGCTATAAGCTTTGAACCTCTTACTGCCCTAAGGGGTCAAACAGAACGGAAATGGCCCACACCATGAGCTAATACGGTGAACACAGGTCGTGAACACAGGTTTTACACGCAAACAGTTAATGGACAGAAGCTTTACACAACGTGTTTAGTTTACGGCAGTATATAAAGGAACGGCATTTGAAATGTTTTTGAAAGCCTTATAAATGGGAAGGTATAAAAGTTTACGTTTTAGAAAAGTGGTGTGGACAGTATATAAATGCTGTGTTCAGCTTTACTGGCTGCTATTGCCAGTGACAAACACAATCCTAACGCTGTTTTTGTCCCTTAACTTACTACCACTCTAAATTACAAACTATAGGATGCTGAAATGCCACTTTACATGCTTTAGGCAACTGACCACTGGCAGCACGAGTATCCCCTGCACTTATTACACGAGCATACCTGGAAGATGACTACATTGAATAACAGGCAAAGGTCAATAAATACGTTGCTGAATGAAGGCCTTGCTTTCTGCCATCTCTCTCACGATTGCGTGTGCTGTAATGATTGGACCAGCACCTGCACACAAGCTGATTTCATCTTCCCATCTCAGAGGGAGAAGTTACCCTGGAACACATTCCGTTCTGCCACTCACCATTGGCAATCATCCCCTCTAGTGACTCTCTTGCCCAAACCCAGTTTACTTTCGTTCAGACAGTTGTCTATAACCTGGATAAATTGTCTAATCAATGTGTTACATTTATCAATGTAATTCCAAGCACGCGACTCTCCAAGCTTCTGTTGCGCCACTTCTCTCAATTTTTGTTATACTTTCTTCATGAATGAGCATGTTTATGATCCGTATGTCACAAACAGGTGATAAATAACAATTTAAAACGTTCTGCGTTAAGCGCATTGGGTATGCTACTTTTCATTATGGAGTTCAGCTTTCCTAAACCACTGCAACCTACACACACACACCTCCCATAATCTTTATGCAGGTCCACTTTCAGCAATTTTCTCAGGCGTACCGTATGCCTCTGTTTTGCAGTTGGGCACTAAATGACCTTTGTTTTTGCTCATATTTATCCTGAGCCCAACTTTGCAGCCTTCTACATTACGTTCCAAGAGGCCAGCTCAGATTTGCTGACGGAGATGGGATTATTATAACGTCCAACGGGGAACGAACAGAAAAAAAGACATGTCAGAACACATATACTGAATAACACTGTATACACGTGTACAAGACGTGCATTACGGTACATACGCACTATCGCAGCGGTGAAGTTTCTCTCTTATGTACAGTACATGGATACGAGAGTACATTTAATTTATGTGATGGCAGCGAGAAACGACGGCCATGCATTCTTTTAAACCGCCTAATTTTAAACATAAAGGTCCCCTTGGAGCTGCTCCATTTATGAATGCATATTTATATTAGTACAGTGATCACTATGCACACAAGAGTTCATGCAATCCTCGTCGTTGTGCCAAATTTCAAGGAGAGAATAACAACACATTCACATCTCTGGCGCTATTTTTCTTTTTAGAGTGTATCCAATGCGTAGCGAATTTGTATTAGAAATCAAAAAAACTAGAGACACACAGACACAACGCAAATGACACTTTGAAATGAATCCGGAATGACACTGGAAATGTTTTTGTTTGTATCTTAAATAAACCCATCACTCTCACAAGCCCCTATTACACACGAATGAACTTCATCATCTCACAAGCATTGTTTCATAATTATCATCATGATGGGCCATGATCCATCAACTGCTGGATGAAGGCCTCCCCTCCCAAAAAAAATCCACCGCTCATCTCTTCACCATCGTGCGATGGAATAATTCAACCCAGCCGATGCACAGGAGCTCAATTCATCGCTCCATCTCCCCTATAGACGTTCGTTCCCAAGAACACGCGTGTGTGTGTTTGCGTGGCGTTTCTATTCCTTGACTGCCAAAAACTCCGTCCTGATTTTTGAACAGCCCCTTTCGGGCAGCTGACACGTCCCTGCCCACATGCACCAACGTACAACTCTGAAGAGTTTTAATGATGTTACACTAACCTCGCGTGTGCTCTCAAATACAACGTCTTGTTCCTACCCGTGCAATTCTAAGTACTGCACTGTATACATCTATCTCCCCACGCTACTGTGCACCCACGTCAAGCAATTTTATATAAACAAGTACTGTACTAACCATCACGCACAACTAAAAGCAGCAGCGGAAACGGTAGAATACAAAAGAAAAACGTATTTGTATGCGAACACACGTTTACATCTGTATAGATATTTGACAAATTAAAGAATCTCTTAAGCACTTCCATCCCCCTCTTCCAACTCATCTCATTCACCATCCTTAACTCCTCTATCCTTAACTCCTACGCGTGAGCATTTCAACGGAGCATCGTCTGAACAATAAGCTGCAGTCGTCATCGTCCGTTCCATCGCTCGCAAAATATTACTTGAAAAAAATGTAATTAAAAGTCGCAAGTTTAAATTCTGCGTCACGTAGGCCGCAGCGAGGCGCCGACCCTCGGCTAGCGAGCCCGCCGCGTTGGCAAGCACAAAACTCGGCCGAGCCAGGGACCCCGAGACTCCCCGACCCCAACTTTACTTCAAAATAAAACACAAACACACCGCAACAATGAACACAGCCGCACACAAAGCCGATACAAACGATCCGAACTCACCTGGATAAACCGAAATCCCACGCAGCAGCCGCATACTACGACGACAAACACATTCGATTTCTGGACAGTTTGTATCGATGGAGGAGGGCAAAGGCGTTTGGATGTCCCCTAATGCATTCAACGACTGTTGTTGTTGTTGCCGCCGTTGTTGTTGTTCTTTACAATTCCCTGCGTGTACGAGTAACGCGAGAACAACACTGCACTATTCTTGGCTAGACTTGTGTGTGTTGTGAGCGTGTGTGTTGCGTGCTGTCCCCGAGTGAGCCAGCGACTGACGCCAAGAGGAAACGGCGATCGAGAAGGAAGTTGAGAATTGAAAGAGAGAGGGGGGTGGGGTGGGCAGCTCCACCCTTAGCACTGAATTACAAACTCCTTTTGTCATTTATTCTCGGCTTGATGTAGATTTTCAATTTTTTTTAAAACAAGGTTTAATGGGGGCCCACTGAGCTACGTAGCTCTTTAAAAAAAAATTCAGAACCGACCTGGATATAGCAAATGAAGGCTCAACTGAGTGGCTTATCACGTGGACATGTATAGCGGGCCACATGCTCTGCACGCGTAGCCGATTTAAAATGTGGAGGACGCGGATGAAACGTCGACGCGTCAACGCCGAGAGAGACATGTAAACTCCAAATGTACATAGGCGTCAGTCAGGGTCGTGATCGAACTCACGACCTCCTTGAACGAACCCACGACCTCCTTGAACACCAGGCGAGGTGGTTAACATCTCGCCAAAGTGAGCAGCAAACTACAATTTTCACATTCAGGTGGTCAAGCCCACGTAACAATTTTGATTATTTCGCTGCTCTAAAATGTCCAAATGATAAGCCACTTTTGTTGAGCTATCGTTTGTGGCCAGGTCGCTTTTGAAGAATAAGTTCATGCCTCGGTGGGATTTGTCTGGTAGGATGAGGATGGTCTAGTGTTGTATTTGTTTGTGTTTGAGTGATTTGTTTACCTTTCTAGTACTTAGCACTCCTATCACGTGTTTTGTATTGGTTGTTGTTGTTGCCACGTTCTTACCCGCCCCTACTGGAACATCTGTGAAAAAATAGCTTCCATAGCTCATCGGATTCCTCCAGTATAAATATTCTGATTCTCACAGACAAATTCACACCTTATTGGTCACCCCGTACCCCTTATAAATCCCGACGTTCATCCTACAAAGTCCCATCACACGGGAGAAACATAAACAAATAGATACAAAACTATGTTTAACACGTCGGCTTTCGCGACCAATTAATTCATAATAAACGTTTTTGGGTTAGATCGCGTTATTTATAAATGTGTCGTAACCCTCCACCACCCGACACGGCCAATCAGTAAAAATGTGTCACGTTGACAAAGGACAAATATATATTCTTGGTTCTTTCGGTAAAGTCACGTAGAAGGGAAACAATAAAATAATAAAAATATAAAACAATACAATTCTCTCGACGTTTCGACTGCAACACAAGCAATCATCATCAGGTGTGAAAACCACAGCAAGAAAATTTGAAAAAAGTTGGCGGTTTTTTTAACGTTAGCCAACTTTTATTTTTTTTTCTTTCTGTGGTTTTCACACCTGATGATGATTGCTTGTGTTGCAGTCGAAACGTCGTGAGAATTTTATTGTTTTATATTTTTTATTATTTTATTGTTTCCCTTCTACGTGACTTTACCGAAAGAACCAAGAATATAAATCCCTGCAGTCACGAAAGGTTTAAATCAGAAGGACAAATAGTTCACTACTTTAGCCCACGGGTGTGTTGAAGAGTGAATCCACAACATTTAAAAAAATGTTAGTACGACGTTTCGCTGGTAATTACATCCAGCATCATCGGGCAATTTGCCAGAAATTTGCCAGAATGATGCTTGTTTTATTTGCCCGTTTCGAAACGGCTGTCAGCCGTATGGACCTGAAAACTCGATCTCCCTGTACAAGAATAAAGAAACGTCGTGTTCTTTTATTATGTTTTCTTCTATCTACGTTACTTTACCTAAAGAACCAGAAAGTATAATGAATGTATTAATTACGATTTTGACTTCCGTTTATTCGGGACCCCGGGGTCCTGCCATAAGGTTCATTTGTGGGTCAAGTGTCTGCGTCAGCCCCCTTGCTCGCTGTGTGGGCAGCAAAATCCATTGCAGTACTGCACAGTAACTTCTATGCCCCCCCTCCCCCCCTTTCACTAAAGGGCAACGAAGAATATGGTCAAATAACCCCCACAATCCACACAACTTGGGGACAGGCCCTTATCCAGCAGTGGACAAACAGAGCTGGAACGGCACGTACATGTACAAGTGGATTGCCACGAAGAAGGGACATTGCTTGAAAATTCACCCGTTTGATATACTGTATAAATCGTTTTCCCTTGAAAGGCCAAGTGTTTATTGACGAATCTGTTGAGTTGTGTTGATTCTCCACGCGCGTTGGGTGAGTGTGCCCTCGCTTAAGTTACAGCACAGTAATGTTACTGAATCGGAAAGTCTCGATATTTTTCTTCTTCGGTTCTTTCGGTAAAGTCACGTAGAATGAGAATAAAGTAATAAATTGATAAAATAAAATAACACGATAAAATTCTCACGACGTTTCGGCCACAACACAAGCGGCCTTCATCAGGTGAAGGGACGAGACTGTCCTCCAGACATCATCAGGTGAAGGCCGCTTGTGTTGTGGCCGAAACGTCGTGAGAATTTTATCGTGTTATTTTATTTTATCAATTTATTATTTTATTCTCATTCCACGTGACTTTACCGAAAGAACCAAAGAAGATGAATCCTTGCAGTCACGAAAGCTTTAAATCTCGATATTTTCCCCACCGAAAAATGTAATCTAACCTACAGGAGTGGGATCTGACTGTCGCTCAGTCGCAGGCATTTGTCTGCCGCGGTATTTGTTGTTGCTATTGGGATTTTCTTTTGTTTTCGATTCAGGCGTATGAGAATAGTACTGTAGTACGTTGGAAAAATTGCGTTTTGCTGTACTGCCCTCTGCTGCACATCACCTGTGACAACCTTCCCATGTGCGGTAGTTACCTGTATCAAACCCGCTTAACTCCATGAGCTCTGATGGGATGGAGGGCATTGCGCGTGATTTGCTCATACATTCAAGTTGATTCATAATAAAGGTTTTTGGGTTAGATCGCGTTTATTTATAAATGTGTCGTAACCCTCCACCACCCGACACGGCCAATCAGCAAAAAAAAGTGTCACGTTGACAAAAGACAAATAATTCACTACTTTAGCCCACCGGTGTGTTGAAGAGTTGATCCCAATAATTAATTCCAAATGCAATGTTGATTGTTATTGTTTTTCACAAAACGTATCAAACAAAGCAAACAAATGTCGCACTAAAGCATCGCACGGGTGTGTGTGTGTGCTAGCCAACTGCTTTCGCTTCGTGGTGGGGTGGTGGAGCGGACAGCAAACGCACACAAAAGCAGTGGTCATTCTAGGACACAATAAACAATCTTAGGGTAAACAACGGAAACAAAGCGAGACCAACATATAAAACGTCCAAAAAAAACTTTACAATGGGCAGGAGGGGTAAGAAGATTGGAGGCAGAACTCACTCGCCAACTGAACCATAGCCCTACTATGGAAACGCTGATTAACTAGAGCCCACCAGCCATTAATACTATCCCCCTCACTGAAGACATCTCTTACTCCTAACAAAACTGCCGATCAAACACTCGGGAAGGCTCTCCCACTGACCCCAACTAACTAGAAAACCAGCCACGATTACTATTCCTCCCACCTACCATAAATCTACCCCCAACCAACTTCTGTACCAAGCAGCCACGAGTAATCGTAGCCTTCCCACTGACCCTACCTAACCAATTCTACTCTTTGGTTCTTTCGGTAAAAAAGTCACGTGGGTAGAAAGATAATAGATCACGACGTTTTGGTCGCAACACAAGCAATCGTCATCAGGTGGGACAGCCACAGCAAGAAGCAACTGCTGAAGTAGGCGAGAGACCTGCTGTGGCACGAGGTTATATAGGCCTCGGTAGTAGGGGGGGAGAGATAAGTGGAGGGGGAAGGAGGCGGGGCAGAAATTTGACCCCGCAGCAGCCCCAGGGTCACTGGAGTAAAGTGGACCACCGCGGCAGCACTGGAGAGGTCGGCTGCAGGGGGGGGGGAGAGAAGGGGGGGGGGGTAGCAGGGCAGCACAGAGAGAGAGAGAAAAACACAGAGAGTCGGAAATAACAGCTGACATGGGCAGGTAGGATGGAGACATCAGAGTCAGTTAAGACTTTACCTGGTTAATGACTCCAGTGACCCGGGTGCTACTGCGGGGTCTACTGCGGGGTCCACTTTCTGCCCTCCTTCCCCCCCCCCTCTTCTCTCTCCCCCTACTACCGAGGCCTACTATATAATCTCGTGCCACGGCAGATCTCTCGCCTACTTCAGCAGTTGCTTCTTGCTGTGGTTGTCCCACCTGATGACGATTGCTTGTGTTGCGATCAAAACGTCGTCGTGAGCTATTATTTTTCTACCTGCGTGACTTTACCGAAAGAACCAAAGAGTATGGATTCCTGGAGTCACGAAAGCTTCAAATCAAGATCTAACCAATTATATTCTTCTTATTTTCTAATGGCTGGTGTAGGTGCAGAGCAACAACTACAATTTCGCATTCAGGTGGTCAAGACAGATACCTGCGTGCATCAGTAGCAGTCGAGTGTATTGCTGTCATGTCTCCTTTGTATTTGTGTATCGGGCATTGCATCGACTAATTATTATCAATGAGACTTTGAGTACTATGGGGCCGTCCATAAATGACATCACGCTATTTTGGACGATTTTCGACCCCCACCCCCCTCGTCACACGGCGTCACAAAAAGTCAGACCCCCCTCAAATATGACGTCACAAAGCTCTGCCCCCCCCCAAACCATATTTCCATTTTGAAAATAAAACATACTTCGAATCGCTTTAAACTATTGTCATTGTAGTGCGTATTTAATGTGGCGCTGCACTCTGATGTTGTAGGAGGGTTGTTATAACAATTAGTGTGGTTATAACAATTCTATATTTATTTAAAGTTGCGCATTTTTACGTGACGTCACATTTCTCACCCCCCCCCCCCCCCTCGTCACACATCGTCACAAATATCTGACACGCCCCCCCCCCCCAGGCGCGTGACGTCATTTATGGACGGCCCCTATGCTTGACAAGCACCAAAAGCACATCTCTTCCCCGAACCGACTAACAACCAGCCACTAGTGCTATGCTTCTCACTGACGTTACCCCTAACCAACAAACATTTAAATTCTGGAGTTATCCCTCCAACTTACCATAACCCTACTCCTAACCAACGACTGCACCAACCAGCCACCCATGCCATTCTTC